GATCAACCCTTACTCAAGAGCTTATTAGATTAGGCTATGCAGAGAAATTACCTGGTTTTCTGCCCAGAGGTTCAAGACGACGAAAAGGTGCAGGTGAAATTCATGTCTTGTTTAGCCAGAGCCTGGATAGCAAATTAATCAAGCAGCAAAAAAAGGTAGTGCTTCCAATTTCCTGAGATATATTTGACTTTTAACCTAGTACTTGGCAATGATTCAAGGTTATTCCAATTGCCTGTGAATGCAGATTTTAGCAAGACTGGGATTTATCTCCACATCAAATTGTTCTGATGCAACACACTTTGTTACTGACAGTTTTGTTAGAACTAGGAATATGCTGGAAGCCATTGCCTGCGGAAAACCAATTTTAACACATTTGTGGCTTGAGAGCTGTGGAAGAGCAAGCTGTTTTGTCGATGAGAAAAGTTATATCTTAAGAGATGCCAAAAAGGAAAAGAAACTTGGTTTTAATATGCCGGCTTCACTTGCTCATGCCAGAAAGTATCCCCTTCTAAAGGTATGTGTTTATACTTACTGCTAGAGAAGTATTCAGGTTATCATTAGTTAACTTTTTCCTGTGAACAGGGTCGAAGAGTCATTATAACTCCTAGCGTAAAACCTAATAGAGATACTCTTCTAAGCTTGGTCAAGGCAGTGCAGGGTGAGGTACACAACCATGGCATTGATTTGACTTCTTTTTAATGTTGTTTTAGTTTCTGCTTTTGATGTGTGACTAATGTGCATGATCAGGATAAAATTATCCAAGCTCGTAAATTCTTTTTTATTAATTAATAATTTGAAATATTATAACAAATTTACGTCAATTAAGGTTCTTGTTTTCCATTTTTTTAAATGTTTTTCAGGTGGGGGACGAATCGAATAATAAAGTCACTTGTGATGATCTATTAATTCTTTCTTGCGAAGAAGATTACAAAGTATGCATTCCATATCTAAAAAAAGGTATGATTTCATTTCTTTCTTTCTCCCTTCTAGCAATTAACTGCTACCTTGGAACTGATGGCTATAAGTATCACTGTTGCAGGAACTCTTGTTTATAGTTCGGAGCTCTTGCTTAATGGGATTGTTATCCAGAAACTGGAGTACAATAGGTATGTATTGCTAAAAGAAAACGACATATTCCATTTGTTTTCTCTTTAGGGTCAAAATTACCATAATTTTTGGTGCTCTACTTGCTTAAATCCTATTGAATTGTGACTAATATTTGGCCCTTCTGGCATATCTGCATCAAATGCTAGCTTGGTTTTTCTGTGCTAAGTGGTTGAAATGTCTGAATTCTTAGCAATGAGCAATTGATCAAAAGGCTTTCAAGTGACATCTTCTTTCATTATCTTTTGAAAGTAATTCTGAAATTCCTAATTCACACTAGCAACAGTCATGCACAACGTCATTATATCACTAATTTGGAATCAAGAAATTTAAACAAAGTTCCTGCTTAATTTGAGTATATACCAAGATAAGGTAACAGTTACTGCACATCGTTGTTCTAGGATTATTTTCAGTCATCTGCACTTTATTTGGCTTTTGGATCATCTATAGTAGAATGCCTAACTGGTTTACTTCAATTATTGTTATTTCAAGTACAGGAATCAGCTTTTCACAAAGTTTCATGACAAAAACTGCAAAGATTGAAAGACTCTTATATTGACAAGGACGAGCTTTTTGAAGAAAACACCGTGCCCAACTGCTTGTATATCGGTCCAAAATATGCTACTAGTCCAAGTAACAAATGATGATATCTTTGTGTAACAGGAAACTCGGAGCCTTAGATGGGCAGAAGTTTTGAATATTGGTAAGATAACTAGGCTCTCATTGTTTGTGCAGAAAAAAGTTGCCATCTTATCTATTCCCTTGTAAATTCACTCGGTTTGCTAATCAATATTAAGTTACGGAAAAATATGCTAATAGTTTGTGATGCAAATTTTTTTTTTTTTTTTATGGAAATTACTCGAACGGAATAACATAGACAATGAGGATTCATAGAAATTGTCAAACATACTCTCATACGTGGAATTAAATATTTACCAATTAGATAATAGGAAAAAATCAGCCCGTATGAGAGCTATTGTACAAAAAAAAAAAAAAAAATTGAAAAAATATAATTATAATTTTTCATTTTACTTTCAATGACTTGTTTCTGCAACCACATAAATGTCATGAAAATTTAAAAACACAAAATTCAAAAGTTATTTTTTCTTAAATTACGTGCCAAGTCACTCTCACTGTTCCAATTTATGTAGTAATATATGACTCGAATAAAATTTAAGAAAGAAAGAAAAACATTTGAAACTTGTGATTTTACACTTGTCATGATATTTTTATGGTTATAAAACTATGTTGTTAAGAAAAACATAGAAAACTTAAAATTAAACTATTTTTAAAATATAAAAATATATTATTCTTTTTCGAACGAACATAAATTGGAACCGGTGTAGTATACAAATAAAACAAGCCCATTGATAAAAGTGAATAGCATGAGCTAGCCAGTTATCGGATCGGTAATCAAAAAATAGTCAGCATTTGCAAAGTCATTGAAAAATAGTCACTATTTTAGCTGAAACATGGAAAGTTTCAGCATAATATGCTAGATTATGGAGCTCCTGCATAAAAACTTTCAGCATATTTACTCCAACACATTATAAAATTCCAACACATTATGCTGGAATCTTATATGTAAAAAATTCGAACTCTAGCATATTATGCTAGAATTTTTCCGGATTTGTAAGGGCGTTTTTTTCAAATTTATATTTACATGAAAAAATGACTAAATTTCGATTACTTTTGAAATTGTGTTTATTTTTCAATTATCAGTTATATATCGGGCTATTTCTGTTTTTTACGATTCTAAATTGACAAGCCCAATCGATTATGGATCCGGCCCGCTCCATGTTCTTACTCTTATATCCTTTCATAGTCCATTTAGTGGCCTTGTCGATTGGAACAACCACCATTTCCCTCGGTTACATACTATTCTTCTCTCCTTCTCTTTCGCCGGCGACTCTCCGGCGAACTCTGAATTAAACTCGTAAGTTTCTATTTTTCTCTCACTTATGAATTAACTTCCAGATTTGACAACAAAACCCTAATTCCTCTTTTCGATGGTTTCTTAATAGTATAATAATTTGGAATTAAGTTCAATTCTCTTCTTATTTGCTCATACTGCATTAATTAAAGTATCTATTTCGATTTTGTTATAATAATTTGTGATTTTTCCTCCGCAAAAAGTAGCGTTCAATTTCCTTCCCCTGTTATAAATGAGCCTGGATTGGAAGGAATTTGATACGAATGATTCATATATTAGATTGTAACTGGTTCGAATTGAAGTGTAGTTGATTGATGAATGTATGGAGAAAAAAAGAGAGTATAAAAATACTAGGTGATTTATTCTCATCTGCCTCGTATTTATGCGGTAGCAGGAACCTGGTGGAATAATCGAAGCTTGGACACCATTGTCATCAACCAAAGGAAAAAAAGTTTCTAACTGTTTCAAATTGTAATCAGTTGCTTTAAGTACGTTATATACATATAGTGTGGTATGTTAGAGAACTTGATGATTAATATCTTCAGTAATTAGTATTCCCTCATTTTATGGGATAGTATTTGACTGAGCATGGAGTTTAAGAAAATTAAATTGTTTTTAAATATAAAAAACTAAAAAAGGAAAGTACATCACATAAATTGGGACAGAGGGAGTAATAGATTGTCTACTAGAGTAGTAACTAGTATGGACTTGACCAAAACAAATATTATAGTAGTAATAAGTGGGGACTGTGCTACAACACTACAAAACTAGTTTTTTTATTCTGCAAGATGATATTAATTTTACCCGTGTTATTTGAATTTCTTATAGCTTTTTGTTTTGATATAAAGATGGAAGATTGCTTGTTGAGAAAATAATACTTTCTATCCCAATTTATGTGGCACTATTTGACTGGGTACGAAGTTTAAGAAAGAAAGACTTTTACAATTTGTGGTCTGAAACTAGCCTCAGTCATTTGTGTGGCTATAAACCATCTCACAAAGGGTACAATAGGAATTTTAAAATTAAATTATTCCTAAATATAAAAAGGTGACATTCTTTTTTAGACATACTAAAAAGGAAAATGTGCCACATAAATTGGGAAGAGAGAGTAGTGCTTATGGATGTTTTGGCATGGGAAACCCCATACTAGTCCCCTATCGTGTAGCCCAACGGCGTCTTTTCTCACATTGCTCCATCAACTGCTTGAATCCCCAATCTAATGGTTGGAGGGTCCTTACCACTAGGCGATCCCTCTCTCGTCAATAATAGTGCTTATAACAAAATTGCAAATAAAAATCATTATTTTTGTTGCATAGGTGTTGATGTCCAACTCTGTAGCAGGGATGAAACCCTTTTCTTTTCAATGCAAGGGGAATAAATTCTGTTAGAGGGGATTTATTCTTTTGTTTCCCTTGCATTGCAGGTGTAAGCAAGATGTATAAGTTGACATGACTAAATAATGGGAAGTGGTTATTCACTCACATTTAGGGTTCATAGGTCTAGAGATATTTTATTCATGGATTAGTAACACTGGGATTGTAATGCAAAAATTAGTTACGTATGGATTATGAAAGGATTAGGTATTATACTGAGCTTTGCAGGAGAAGGGCAAAAGAGTAGTAGATTGATGTATCATGACATGTGAGGCTTATTGGTTGAACAAAAAATTTAAGGGACTTTCTTTTTTTAAATTTTATGGCTAGGTTATTTGACAGTTTATCCTGATTGACATGAACTTGTAGTTAAGCAAGTGTACATAGCTGTGTATGAATGCTCTTTCCTGTTAGTCGTGTTTTCTTTCTGCTACTTGTAATTCATGCATAAGGGTAATGAACTTTGGATGAACTCTATAACTGAAAGAGATGCACTACCCAGCATGTAAACCTTGTGTCCATACTCCTCTTTGTGGCTTCTGATAGATTGGGAGGATTTGATTGTTTTTGCGATTTTGACAGGAAATTCCATGGCTCCAACGAAAAACAAGAAGCAGAGCAATAATGCTGCTGAATCTAGTTATAAAAGTGTAGTTACTGAAAAGAAAACTCCCAAGGCACTGAAGGCTAAACGTAAACTTGTGAAAAAGTTCTCTCACTTAAACTCTGAGCAGAGCAATAATGCTGTTGAATCTAGTTCTAAAAGTGTAGTTGCTGAAGAGAAAACTCCCAAGGCACTGAATGCTGAACGTAAACTTGTGAAAAAGTTCTCTCACTTAAACTCTGAGCAGAGCAATAATGCTGCTGAATCTAGTTCTAAAAGTGTAGTTGCTGAAGAGAAAACACCCAAGGCACTGAAGGCTAAACGTAAACTTGTGAAAAAGTTCTCTCACTTAGACTCTGCACAAACTGAAGAAGCTGAGATCAGTCCGCAAGTGCAAGCCAGAAAGAAAGACAAGAAGGCAAAATATGGCAATGAAGGAAATCATGCCGGTGGAAAAGATGTGAAGGCTAAACGTAAACTTGTAAAAAAGTTCTCCCACTTAAACTCTGCACAAACCAAAGAAGCTGAGATCAGGCCACAAGTGCAAGCCAGAAACAAAGATCAGAAGGCAAAAGATGGCAACGAAGGAAATCATGTTGGTGGAAAAGATGCTAATGGGTCTCAGAATAAGAATCCGGGGAACAAAGAAATGGAAAATATAAGTGGAAGATGTGGAGAGGTGAATAAGGATGAAAAAATTAAGAGCAGCCTTGGTTTAAATGGAGGAAGCGAAGAGGTGAACAATAAGGATGCAAAAACATTAAATAGTCTTGGTGGAATGATTTTCATGTGCAATGCAAAAACCAAAGCAGATTGTTTCAGATATCGTGTGATGGGTGTTCAAGCAAGCAAGACGTTGTGATGGGAGTCAAACCTGGTCTTAAGATTTTTCTCTTTGATTTTGATCTTAAGCTCATGTATGGTGTTTATGAGGCATCTTCTGCTGGTGGAATGAGACTTGAACCAGCAGCATTTGGTGGGGGCTTCCCTGCTCAGGTCAACTATACTGTTCTTATCTTATGATTTCATCTTCTTCCAATCTGTCAGGTGTTTTTATTGATGATAGGTCATCCAACAGGTTCCTTTTAAGATTCACAAGGGCTGCATTCCATTACCAGAGAAGGTGTTCAAGAACGCAATTAAAGACAATTATGATGAAAGGACACACAAGTTTAAGACTGAGCTGACAGTTATGCAGGTACCGAGCGACCTCCCTGATTAGTAGTTCTTCACTATTTTCCTAAATTTTGATGTCAGTATTTTGGCCTGAATTTTCCTTGAGCAGGTAGAGAAGTTGATGGAGCTGTTTAGACCTACACCATTGCTGGATCCAGCTCTCATACCTGTAGTCCAGGATCCTGTGGCTCAGCCAGTTAATCAGAGCGGAGCAGCACCACCTTTATATGGAGCGCATTACAACAGTAGTAAACCTGCGCGGAATTTCTCACCGCATGATCATCAAAGACAGCAGTTTGCAGACCACTTTGTCATGCCTAGAGAGGTTTCCCATCATCCTAATTTTCTTACTGAGAAAGATTACAGAAGCTATGGTCTTCAACAGGCAAAACATCTGCAGCCTTCCACTTCTGCAGTACATGTTAACCATAAATTGGATCACTATGGTCTTCAACAGGCTAAACATCTGCAGCCCTCTACTTCCGCAATCCATGTTAACCCTAAATTGGATCATTATGGATCTGAACAAGGAATGCCGCAGCTCCTGAGGGACCCTGCTAGTGTAAGAGGTGATGCAGCTTTTGCGCGGAGTGGACATGTCTACTCTGATCCTGTCTTTCCAAGTGAAAGGGAATACCGTGGTTACGGCCTCAAGAGTTTCCATGGGCAACCTGTTACTGTTTCCCCTGCTGTAGCAAGTAGTAATACAGTGGCCGCAGCTGTCGATCATAGTTTACTAAAAAATGTTAATCCTTACGATGAGAGTACCACCTCACTTGTGAACCGGTATCTTTCTATGCCAAGGGCAACGATAGCACCTGGAGGGTTGCCGTTGACAGGCCGACAGTCGTTTGCTAGTGCTTCCAACTATGTGGGTGACACCAGAGGCCATCCAGGAAGGTTGCTTGCTGAAAATGAAAGATCTTATCCACCAAATGCTCCTCATGTGCTATCAAATCACGGCCGTATGTATCAGCATCCTAGATATGAACCTGGAAAATCATCGTCAGTCTTATCTCAGTATCCTTTTGCTGGCCCTTCTGCATCACGCCGCTGAAACTCTGCTGCAAAACATCCATCCCGTAATGTATTTCACATTTCCTTCCTGTAAAGTTGGGAAATAACCCTGATGGCTTCCAAAATATCCAGGCTGATGGGGCAGTCTTTAGTTTTTATATTCAGTTAGTGAGACAAAAAGGAAGACTGGATTCATTGGCTTTCCTTCGGACAATTTGATGTTTGTTCATAATCTTGCAATGCTTGAACTAGAATTTCAGGATTCTGATGGGAGTCACTTTAAACTGTAACTTTTGTCACAGGAGCAAGTTTTGATGCACTAGGTTCCTTTAACTTGTATACAACTCTGTAAATATTTATGGGCAGTGGCGTGTGCCAGACTGCCAGTGCAGCAGCTGCTTATTTTGTGAAAGATTTACCCAGAAAGGTCAAGTCGCTGATATGAATCCCATTTTCAAATCGAGTCTCGGCATAGCTCCAGTTCTCTCGCTTCGTTTCACGGTGCCTCGGTCGCACTCAATTTGCAAGATGCGGTGCATCTCTTCTTCAAACTGAAGATGATGACTGAAGATGATGGGCCATGAAATCAATCTTGGATTCAAATTTTCCTCTCTTTTTTTGTTTCCTATGTACAAAACTCTGTTTCTAGTGGAGCATCTGATTCTTAAAGGTAATACCATAGTCGTTTGCCTGTGCGCGACTGTTTCAATTTTATTTGAAAATTTAAGTCTGTTGTTGAACAGCTCGAAGGATTCATCTTTGATACTTTTCTCCAGTTAGTGCGATTCTTTTGGATGGTTTTTTTTTTTCCTTTAAGAGGCGTTGATGGAATTTAATTTTAAAGTTACAGTTACAGCAGTTCGCTAAAGTCCTAAGAAAAGCTACTGTGAATTTATTCATACAAGCTTAAGAGGTAGTAAGAAAACAATACCAAGAAATCCTAGACTAATGTAACTTCAAACAAATAGTATTTCTGCAAATGAAACTATGACCAAGAAACTATCTTTTCCTCAACTATGCATAAAAACTACTTCTGCTTATAACTACGTCGTCCATTAAAATACCTTCAATGCTTGTTCCTTGAGAAGAAAATAGAAACATCATCAAGTTCATGACATTTAAAATCAGTGATATTGAACTAACAAATACCATGCAGGTAGAATCAATTTTGATAGCAAAACTTTCCCCGAGTAAATGAAATGTCTTTCTAAGAACCTTACACCTAAACATATCATGATCTAGGCACTTAACACCACAACAGAAAAAATCAAAACATGTCTGAAACCAGATTAAGAATAGCTTCAGGAGAATAGCATCTGGCTTTTATGTACATAGACCAGCCTATTGATTAGAGTCTAAAGCTTGGGCATTGATACTGGAACTATCACCTCCTCCGTTCGCTGGCACAGTGGTACTTCCTTGATACACAGGAGGTGCAAACATTGGAGGGCCACCAGTAGAAGCAGGCATTCCCACACTTCCTGGAATTGCACCTGGTGGTGCGCCAGGCCGTTGCATATTATTGACTTGACCAGGCATAGGAGCACCGGGAGGTGCCAACATCTGAGGCATCGGTGGAGGTGCATAACCTGGAAAGATCAAACGAAGATCCTATAATTTGTAAAGGTCTATGATCGAATAATAATTGGGGGAAACTTCTCAAGGCAACACCAATATGCAAGCTTTCAGAAACTACAGCATGACTCTCTTTCTATTATTCATCATAATCATTCAAAACAATCAGAATCTGAGCGGCTACATAAACAATAATGTAGAAGATATCATCTACAGGACATGCAAATATAAGTAAATCTGAAATAACCCAAAGGAAATTCAACTGAATTAATCAATTCTGCTCTTTAAAGGAAAATGTCAAAAAGATCTAGTCGCTATTTCCTCCCAAAACAATGAAGCCGTTGGAGAACATGAGTTATCACATCATTCCTCGATAAAGGAGGAGGGTTATTGTAACACCCTAGGTGAATCCCACATCGACAAAACACGAGAGAGATGTTGGGCATATAAGTAAATAGGCCGGAGACCCTAGTGACGCGTTTTAAAACCGTGCGGGCCTAGGCCCAAAACGGAGAATAACACTAGTGGGTTGGGCTGTTACATATAGTATCAGAGCCACTCCGCATGCAACCTTGAACGGTGGTGGGGCAAACCTCAGCGAGGACGCTGAGTCCTTAAGGGGAGGTGTATGTAACACCCTGAGCGAATCCCACATCAATAAAATACGGGAGAGATGTTGGGTATATAAGTAAATAGGTCTTAGACCATAGTAACGTGTTTTAAAGGCGTGCATGCCTAGGCCATAAACGGACAATATCACTAGTGGGCTGAGCTGTTACAGTTATGGTAGATTAACTGCATGCCAAAACATAGTCAAACTGTGATGAACCCTCTAAATATAAAGCAACCCCAACTAATTAACGACTGAAATGTAGCTGATTGATATATCTCAGGCTGCACTCCAGAACTAGATGCAACAACATATTTTCGTTGATACTTTTTTGCTCCGGCAGAATAGCCTAAATGGCACCTATACTTGTGCCACTTTGTCATGACGGTCCTCCTACTTCACTTTTTTTCATCCAGACACTTTAACTTGTTCAAAATCTATATTTTAAACCCCTCTGACCGTGTGTGTATCTCACTTGCTTGACGTGGATGACACATCATATTCCACGTCATTTTTTATATTTTATCTACTAAAAACACTTATTATATACTATTTCCTTAAAGAAAAAGAAAAAGAAAATCAGTGCCTTCATCTCCTCTCTTCCCTCAAATTCACAGATTTCTTCTTCCTTGTTCATTTCATATCCCTTCTCCATTCTCATCTCCCTTCTCTGTCTCACTATTCCGCCGATGAATAGTCATTTAGATATTTTTTTACTCAAATGATGAAATTAGTCAGGCCAAGAAAGTGGCTATTCATGCAAATGATCCAATTTTTGATGAACCGNTTTATTTTTCATTCTTATTTTAATAATTTTTTCTTCTTATTTTAATTATTTCTGGTTCAAAATGTTCAAATTCACGCTCATTATCCGTGTGAATTACCCCCACTTTGTCCAGCTCAACCATTATTTTGCCACATGTGCTTGGTCAACGGTCAGAGGGGTTTAAAATATAGATTTTGAATAAGTTAAAGTGTCTGGATGAAAAAAAGTGAAGTAGGAGGACCGGCATGACAAAGTGACACAAGTATAAGTGCCATTTAGGCCATTCTGCCTTTTTGTTCCTTTTGTGATGAATCATTTGCAGTTGTTCAAAACTAGTGATAACAGCCCAAGATAAAATTTGTATTCTTTGCCCAAATAACTCATTTACTCCCGATTAAGGGAACACCAAATATTATGGTGTAGCTTCGACAGAATAAACAATATCCTCAATGATTTAAACACCTTTTTTACAAGGTAAAATTTTATTGAAAATTTGATGGGGTGAGAAAGGCTTGAACTTCCGACCGCGGGATAACTCAGAAGCTACAAGACTAACGAGCTAGCCAACTGCGCCATCAACCCATTTCCTGAACAATTTAAACACTTGAGACCAGGCAACCCTTGTTCCTAACAGATCTATTGTCAAATTGTTTTTTTTCTCATTTCCTTTATTTAATAAGAACCATTGCCAACTTAACTAGCCTTAATGATTAACTGATTAGTAACGGCAATATGAATCCTCATACTTTTTCGCACTATTGGGGTACATTTTATTCCAATAATATTATATAGATACGTGATGTTATTGATTGAGTGAACCCACTTGTTCAATAGATGGTGCAGTTGATGGAGTTGAACCTACATATTTTGGAAGAAACTAATGCCAAAGTGTTCACATACAAAATTTCCAAACCAGATAAGAAAGAACTACAATCCTTTTTGAAAAGCTAATAGTGTGACCACGGGGATTTCCCCGTTATTGTGGGGGGTTATTTGTCGTAGAATCTTAAACCTACATATATAGACAACATCAGTCTAGGAGTTAACCCCCCAACAAAAAGTAAGCTTGAAAATCATCGCGCAGTCAACGACCATATTTAGAGCTTGATGGAGTGCCTAATATAACACAAAATATCTTCAAGACGTATGTAAAACAACAAGGTCCTGTTAGAGTTTTATAATCGTGTTGATACCTGGAACACCAGGCATGGGCCTTGGAAGCACAGGAGGCCGCATACCAGGAACCCATTGGGAACCGCCTGGCATTTGAGGATTACCTCCCATGGGCATCTGAGGAGTCGGAAGAACAGGAAGACCGGGCCTTAGCTGGGGAAAAGGGAGGCCAACTGGTCTAAAGGCACCTAGATGCTCCTTGACTTTTTGGTCAATTAAACTCTGGTTCAATTGTGCCTCAAATTGTTGATAGTAAGTTCGAACATTTCCCTGACAGTATAATGATGTGAGACTTAGTTATATGCGATAATTTGCCTAACCTCCAAGGAAAATAGAAATAATACCTTGTGTTTGTAGCCTGCATTATGCTGCTTTCTCACAGAAGGCTGAAAATAACAAGACAAAAGGTGGTGTTAAAAGTTGAAGGTACAGAACAAATGTATCAATACACAATCTTGTTTCTGTAAAAACTCCAACGAAGAGTAGTAACACAAGAAACTAGCAATCAACTCAAATGTACTTCTATAAAAATATTACGCATAGGATAAGCTTGTGTCTCATTTGAACGTTCTCTAGTAAACTGTTTTTATTCCAAAGTTTGGCTGCTTCCAAATATTTTCCTACAAGCTACTTTTCACCAAAATAGGAAAATCTTAACTCTTCTTTTTACCTCAATTCACTTACCACAATTTCATCAAAACCAACTACACCTAAATCCCAAATTCAAGTTGTCTTAGGCTATATGAATCCTCACTGACCATGTCTCTCCATTTACCCTCATCTCATGCCCAAAAAAAGGAAAAAAAGACACCAAAAGAACTAGAAGTTCTCTATATTTTCTACCGGACTATAAATCTGTCATGACTAAAGACTCCTAGAAAGTATAGGTCTAGGACTTGAAGCAAATGTACTTGCATGACTGAAACATATTTCCAACTAATTAATATCGCTTATATAAGATATTTTGTTCCATTATGCCCTATTTTCGCTAAGCTTACATGATTTCCGAGAGATTGCAAATCTTTCTAGGCACTCTTGACTTTAATATTGAAATTTATTACCAAAAGATCACCCCCTTACTCCATCTCCAACATACTATTATGACCTTAGTACTCCAAACACCAAAGAGCAATCTACAAAATAATTTCAAGCTTAACATGTTCCAAGAAAGAATTCACATGAATAACACTTTATGTCTTTACACACCCTTAAAGCAGAAAGAACAATAAAGATTACGTGATCGAACAAGTTGATGTTACATAGGGCGGAGTCAGGTTCAAGCAAAGGGGTTCAATTGAATTCCCTTAAAATTATACTATGCCATTAGGGCAAAAATATATTTCTTTTTTGTGATATATAAATTTTTGAATCCCTTTAACATAAAGGAACATTCTAGTGTTGTGGCAAAGGGGGTTCAACAATTTCTTTAGGCCACAGATTCTTTTGTTGATAACCAAGGTATCAGAGCCAGCTTTCTCGTACCTCGACTAATTTCATGGGATACCTGCTACCTCCTACTAGCATAGATACCATCCACTAGTTAAACTCTATCCACCAAGGCTCGGACATATAGGAAGAAATAACCTGCTCCCTCCGTTTCAATTTATTCGACACTCTCTTAATTATTTCGTTCCAAAAAGAATGACATATTTCTATTTCATCTAAAAAGAAAAGAATGACATATGTCTATAACTTTAAGCTTTTCATTTTATCCATTTGCTCTTAATAGAAACTTTTATAACCACACAAATGATAGGACCACCCAAACCTTTACCCTTTAAACTTTTAAGGCAAGTTTCAAAAGTTTTTTTTCCCTTAAACTCTGTCGGAGTCAAACTACAACAGCAACTAAGCCTCAGTTTCAAACAAGTTGGGATCGGCAATATTAATCTTCATTCATTTCTAAGCTCAACTCATATCATTCTCGTTATCAAAATAAAATAAAAGTGCGAGTAAAAAAGTTTATTTATATATAATAGTAGTAGTAGTAGTAGTAGTAATAATAATAATAATAATAATAAAATAATAATAATATTAAAAGTCCTCTACCAATTTTAGAACCTATTCCTAACTAGTAGGTATAATCGTTGTTACCTCTTTTAAAAAAAAAAAAACTAGTAGGTGTAACCTATATGGATTTTTCTCTTTTATTGTGCCCTATCTTTAGCTAAGTCTTTATTGATTCCAAGGATTTGTAAGTTTTTCAAGATAACATATTTCTATGTGAATTTAGGACTACACCATCCTCTTTTAATACCTTTTCCCACTATAGTTTCACACCTACGACCGGTGTATCTGTAGGCTGGCGTAGGACATAATCAGACCATTTCAAGCGACCTTCTCTGATTATATCCTCAATGTGTAAGCATTTGCACCTTTTGGCGGATGTGATCAATTTTAATCTTATCTAATCTTATATGGCCACATATTCATCTTAACATTCACATCTCTGCAACACTTACTTGTGGATATGTTGAACTTTAGCAACCTAACATTCACTGCCATATAACATTGTTGGTCGTATAGTTACTATATAGAACTTACCTTTCACCTTAGAAGGCATCCTTCTATCATATAACACCCCAGTAGCACTTCCCATTTCAACCATCCGATTATAATCCTATGGGCAACATCTTCATCTATCAAACTACGTCACATAAATTAAATCAGAGGGAATACTATTTTTGCCTCGGCTTGGATTTTCTTTAGGCCATAGATATTAATCTTAGGTGTGACACTGGATTTTGTTTTTTGAATCCCCTTATATGAATTCCTAGTTCTGCCCCTAATGTTATTACGCGTGATCTAAGAAAGCTCAATACAAAAAGGGTGACTGCATTTAGACCCCAATAAGCAAATCAAGAACACATCATGAGTTACAAACCTAACTAAGAACAAGTGCCCAACAAAAGAATCTTGTATTTCAACATAGTATTAAAAAAATTCACCAAAGATTATTAAAATATGATTAAGTGAAACTTACAGAATCATGGGTCAAGTAGGTATCACAGTAGTCACAGTAATACCTGAGAATAAAAGGAGAGAAAAAGGGGCATCAAATTAAGGAAAATGGAGTGAAGAAATTATACAAAATAATCACATTTATTGACTTAAATTAAAAATACCGAGGCATTTTGTATACAAAAGAGCGAAAATCCCTTCAAGAAAAAGTGAGGTTCTTGAATAACTTCGCTCGGAACTGAGCCCTAAGACAGCTAAAGTTGGTTTAGGGGTTAAAGTGTCACAGCATATAAGTGGAAAACTGGAAATATCAGCTTCAAGGGAAATGACAAAAACATCCCTTGGGTTTGGGATATGTTTAAAATAGTCCCTGAAATATGCTCCGACTCCGAGGTGTGAAGGGAAAATTGAAGAACTAAACCAAACCGAAAATTTAAAAAAAAAAAACTTACATCTTAAGGTTTTGATTTTGGTTTTTAATTTTAAAAACCGATATAGTTTGATTTTGTTTAAAGAAAAAAAAAAAATTCGAATCAAACTGACTTAATTAATTTACTTTCATGTTAGGAAAATCGACTAGTACCAAACAGTAAACACCCTTACTTCTAAGCAATTTTGGTCCAAGTGTACTGAAAATCCTTTGGATCTAGGACAAATATTTGACAAACTCTAGCTTTTTCGATTTAATGAAAACTTTAGAAAAAGAAGATTTAACTAGATTCATAAATGGATTACACATGTACAGTATGCATAAAATGATAAAACCCTTATTCCTTGTTGGATGCTTGATTTATTTAATCAAAAATTGGGTAATTTATAAATTTAAAATATGTACAGTCGATAAATTGTCCTACCACTTTTATGATATTTTTTGTTTATCCATTTAAGGGTGTGATATAATGGTTAATCAAGTGATGAAAAATCTTGGAGACCATGATTCAAATTCCAGCAGAGATAAAATTGCGCTAGAATATTCAAATTCCCCATCTGCATAAATTTGGATATAGAGTTTGCCAACCATGTTTTAAAAATAATTGCCAACCACTGAGTAACCATTGCATTCCTTCAAGATAAACCACTCAATTTTTAAAGTTTTACTCTAGTTATTCTTGAATTATCAACTCTTAAATTGTTGGAAAAATATTAGAATAGTAACACTCATAAGAACAAAAGGCAACAATATTTAAAACACACTATTAACAATAAAAGATATAATAAGAGTTTTCAATATGAAAAAAACCAGTTCGAGGCACGCGGCGTGCATGACCTAAAAATTAGATCTACATTTTTATACAATTAGATTTATAGAAAAATAGGATTAATCATAGTCAATATCAATATTCAGTAGCGAATCTAGCACTTTTTGGGTGAGTACGAAAAGATTATCTAGGAACAATGATGAGCAATAAAAGCTTATAAATGTAAATAATAGCAATAAATGATAATAAATGGCTTTTGAATAATAAATGAGACAAATTTTACTCGATAAGGGTGAGATCTTCAAAAATATTTTCTGACAATGATGGATGGTGACAAGCAATTGAATATTCCGATTTTTCTTGGATCGAGAGCGAGTGATAGTAGAAAAAGGAAATATAAAGTTAGTCATTATTTCTATTCAATAAAGAGATAATCTTGCATAGAGAATGTCAATGATATTCTTTACAAAAAAGGTATGATCCCTTTCTTGAACTACATCTCTTCCTATTCATAAGGATACACGGGACACAAAATCCTAGGTAGTACAACAGAAAAGAATATTCATTAGAATATTATATAGGGAATCTAAATCCTAAGTTGGTCGTCATTCGTACCGAAAGCGGGTGCTCGCCCTTGTCCTTGTCTTCTACTAAGCCATTTTGACCTCGACTATGATTCATCTTTCTCGCCTGACCTCGACATTTTGGGGTCAGACTGACTCATCACAACCTTCAAAGGCTTTATCACCGCTGACCGGGTCAAACACATAAATGAAGTTTTTTGCCCATACAGTTAGTCCCTCCGCTTGTCGAGGTCGTCCTCCTTGACGGGCTTGATAAGCGGATATCAATGGTCGTGGTCGTCGTCAGAGGTAGTCTGCATATTTCGAACTCTTGTCGCCTTGATTTACCCGGGCGATCTTCGGAAATAAATTTGACGTAGATGGGATGGGATGTCATTCGTCATGATGACGTCGGTTTCCGATGCGTCGCGTCAGGACACGTGTAGCTTGAGGATTGATTCTGCCATTTCACCTGTGGCTGTAATCATGACGAGTCGCTTCGAATCCCAAGGTCCCTCCTTTAAAAAGAAGGATGATCACCGCAATTCAAACTCTTTCTTTACTTCCATTGCTTAAGTTTTCTTCATATCCCTCTCAAACTTTCCTTCTCTGCTCATCATTCCTAAAGTTTTCCTCCATTTTCTCAGCTTTTTCCCTTCATAAATTCCCTGAATTTCACAATCATGTCTAACTCGCCTTCTGATGTTCGTGGTGGGGAAGTTTCTAGCGCGAATGAAGAGATTCAGGCTATCCAGTGGTGGTTGTGGCCTCCCTTCGCAGAGGAGACGCCTCCACCGCTGTTGAAGCATATGTTCTTCCCTTAGTAGAAGAAATTATTCCTCGCAACCCCGACGCGAAACCAGACTTGCAGCCGGAGGCGATGGAAGAGGGTTTTTTGATCTTCTTTAATGGTTAAATGCTTGGCGGAGTTAAAGGCTAAGTTCTGCATTGCTGACCAAGTAGAGCTCGTACCCGCGGGCAAGGACGAAATGTACACCCACCGTCCAAGTTACTGCGCCCTTTACGCGTACCCTTTCACCATTAGCTACTCTCTTCCTTTTCCCCATTTGGTGGAGAAGTTTTGCCACCACTACCAGGTCTGCCCGCTCCAACTTGCGCCCTTAGTTTACAAGGTGGTCAAGACATTATCCAAATTCATAGAGTTGGCCAATGTCGAGATCACTCTACGATATCCCGTACATTTGTTCATGCCTACTTTTTATCGTGGGATGATGTTGAACATTCGCCACCGTGGAAGTAAATCCCTGGTCGTCAAGACGGATGAAAAAGGTAGTCGACAATTTTGGCTCGACTTCTTTTTCGTCAAGACTGAGTTCTTTGTGGCCGACACCACAGACTTTCTAGAGGCTTGGAACCACGCTCGTAAGTGTTTTTTCTTGTCTGCATTTCTTCATACGATTGTGCGTTTTAACTCTGTGGAATAACTTTTATCTTTTTGCAGCTACTACTCAGAGCCTCCATTGGTGACGCACCTCACTGACTAGGTCAGGCGGGTCCTTCCTTGCACTGCGGAGATCCGTGAATTGTCGAGCTTTTGGCAGAAGTACAAACTGGCTCCCCCTCCGAAATGTAACATCATTTTTAGATGGTGTTGTGCTTGTAATCACCGATTTTATTATGCTCACTTTTATATTTCTTTCCAGGCCCCGCCAAGGAAGTTACTAAAAGGAACTTGGCGTCGACGCCTTCTTTCAGGAGAAGTAGGGGTGTTGCTTCCAGTACTCCTGCCCCCATTTCGTCAGATATGCCCATTCTTCCTTTGGCTCCCTTATGTGTTGAAGACGAGGAGGTTTCTCTACGTGACGTGGACCTGAGGCCCACAAAAAGGAAGGTTGTAGATGGGGGAGCTGGTGTACCAGTGGCGGTTGAACTATCAGAAGTCTCTCCCCAGGTCGTGGTGCAAGATATTGTGGTGACATTGGCCGGTGGAGGTGCAGGGATGGCCTCAGAGATGCCTAGGTTGGAGGGATTCGATGTTGCTGCTTCCCTTCTACTCGACGGGGATGAGGCAGTTGTGAATGTTGTTGATGATGTCCCGTGCGTCCCGGATATGGGGAGACTTCGACTTTTGGACCAACTCGGGAAGCTTCCCCTGATGACAATAGGAAAGACAAGATGCACACCGAGCAGGTCGAGGATCGAGCTGAGCTTTTTGGCGATGAATCTGATTCCGACCTCGACCCTAAAGATCACGAGATGATTAACAGTGGGACAACTCATATTGAAGTCAGAGTGGAGGGGGGATCACAGACTATCACGATCCTAGAAAATCATGATTTGCTCAAGAACACTGAGGACGTGGTTCAGACGTTTAGCTCCTTCTGCTTTGATGTCGATCACGGGACTCTCGAAGAGCTGAGTGATAGTACTCTTTCCAAGAGCATCGCTGGCCTTGCTCTTAGGGTAAATCATTTCATTTACTTCTTTTCTCTTCTTCTTATTTTTTGTGTTGGCTCGCTTTCGAGTTTTTACTTACTTACTCTTTTTCCTCTTACTTGTAGACAGTTATCCTGGAGATTGAGAGCGTGCAGAGAGAGAAAAGGCGGAAGGAGGTCTACTAGAAATACGGTCGAAGTAAATAGGAGTTCAGAAGGCGATATAAGGAGGCTAAGACGCGGCTCCGTGAGGGGGCGATGTGCCTGCCCTGAGGGAGGAACTGAGAAAGAAGGACAAGGAGTTGCTCGCGTATGTGGAGCAGTTCAGCTCTCTCGAGGGGGCGTTGAAGTAAAAAGAGGAGGCTCTCGAGCTGAGCAGTGGCGTAGAAGCCCAGTGCCGTGACCTCTAGAGTCGGGTTGATCAACTGCAAGATTAGTTGGATGAGCGCCAGTTTGAAGTGTACGGGCTCAAGGGGGAGGTCCTAGTAAGCAGCAGCTGATAGAGGAAGCGGAGTCCGCCTGAAGGGAAACTCGAAAAAGGGCTGCTCTTTTAGAGTTGGCGAATAAAAGCATTCATGCTAATCGGGACAATGTTCGGTCGACAACTGAAGCTAAGGAGACTAGGCTCGAGGAGAGAATTGGTAAGTTGGAGAAAGAGAACACCGAGCTGCAAGAGTGGATTTCTGATGTGGAGGGCGAGAATGCTAAACTGCTCAAACGTCCCTCCATTTATCATGCCTCTGAGTTTCGTCCATTCCACGGGAGTAGTACGAGGAATGGATCCTTGATGACGCCCGAGTAGAGGTGGTTTGAGAATTGGGTTAGACGATTTTCGTCTTTGAGATAGATTTAGATGAAGCTCGAGCTAAAGCTTGTGGAGCTCGGCTAGCCTGCGGTTACAACCCCGACACGCCTCAGCCTGATGCGGAGGACGATGATGAGGGAGGCTTCAACCAGCTTGAAGATAGTGCCTGGAGCGACTCTGCTTACAGCCGGGTTGAGGGGGATAATGGAGATCAAGGCGGTGATGATCATTAGATATTATGTTCTTGTTTTCATTTAGCTTTTGTACTTTATACTTTGTCCTTTTTTTTGCTGGCGTTTTCATGCACCTTCTTGAAGACCCTTATCTGAATATAAAAGTTAGCTTTTGTTTCATACGTATATATTTTATCTTTGCATATTTTTTTTGTGATTGTGTGATTTACTTCTGCGCATCTCTCCTTTGCTATTGCCTTTTGGGTTGCGATGGTCATGGGGCTGAGGAGTTCTACTCAAGCGGATTAAGTGCATGCCTTTTATGTAGGAGTGATGTGGTCATAGGCCGAGGGGATTTTGTTTGAGCTGGTCGAAAATACTTCTTCTTTGGTTAAACATGGCCTGGGGCCGAAGGGTTTTGTTCGAGCTAGTCAAATGTACCTTTAAATTAAGACATGGCCAAGGGCCGAAGGGTTTTGTTTGAACTGGTCGAACCTACCTCTTATTTAATATGTACCTAGGGGCTGAAGGGTTTTGTTTGAGCTGGTCGAACCTACATCTTAGTTAAGATGTGGCCATGGGCCAAAGGGTTTTGTTTGAACTAGTCGAGTGTATCTCTAAGTTGAGATGTGGTTGAGGGCCGAGGAGTTTTGTTCGAGTTATTCGAATCATACCTCTTAGTTGGGAGACTTAGGAGAGCAGTTTCAATAAACGAGTATCTTATTTATTTCAACAGCATTATATCAATTAAATCATTTCGCCCTGAGGCATTTTTGGAGAAAATTACAAGTTTTGGGTGCTAGCTGGCATTCCAGTCCCAATCCCGATATATTTAGTCCCTTCATTGTTCGACTCGGAGATTCTTAAGAAGTCGGGCAATGAAATATGGTTGTTCTTGCTTACTTCAACTCAAAATGTCTCGTTCGTTGCCTCGTTAAAAACCTCCTTAAGAAAATCCTGTTGGGACAAAACTTGAGTGAGGGAAAAAGAGTACAACTTACGGGGCATTTCTTATTTTTCAGAAGTTGAAGTACTTGAGGTGGCGGATGTTCCAATTGTTTGGTAAGAGCTTTCCTTCCAATGTCTTTAGTTGGAATGAACCCTTGTCTGCCTTGCCTATGATTTTGTATGGTCTGTCCCAATTGGCTTCTAATTTCCTTTCTTGAGGATCTCTTCCTGATTGGGTTTTGGCTTTCAACACATAGTCCCCAATCTTGAGTAACCATACCTTGGCCTTTCTGTTGTAGTAGCATTCTGCTTTTTGTTTTTATGCGGCCATTCTTATATACGCTATGTCTCTTCGACTTCATCGAGGTCTTGTTTTCTATTATTGTCATTGTCGTTGCAGCTCCTGTTGGTGTATCTTAGGATGGGTTATCCTGCTTCAACTGATATGAATGCTTTAGTCCCATAGATTAAGGAGTAAGGTGCTTCTCCTGTGCTTGTTTTTAGGGTCGTCCTATGTGCCCACAACACTCCTAGGATTGTCTCCGGCCATAGTTCCTTAGCATCTTTGAGTCTCTTCTACATGATGTTCAATATTGATTTGTTGGAGGATTTTGCTTACCTGTTGCCCGCTGGGTGGTAAGGGGTCGAGAGTATCCTTTTAATGTTCCATTTTTCAAAAAACTTGGTGGTTTTTCTTCCCGTAAATTGGGTCGTTGTCACAGCTTATTTCTTTAGGCGGGCCAAATCGGCATATGATCTTCTTCCATATGAAGGTGATCACTTCTTGTTCGAGAATTTGGACGAATGCGCCTGCTTCCACCCATTTAGAGAAGTAGTCAGTCAAAACTAAAAGGAATTTAACATTACCTTGTCCCGGCGAAAGCGGTCCCCCAATGTCCATCTCCCATTTGATAAACGACCGTGGCAAAATGACGCAATGGAGGTGTTCGCCCGCTTGGTGGATTATTGGGGCGTACTTTTGGCATTATTCACACTTATTTACGAATTCCAAGGCGTCTTTCTTCATGGTGGGCGAATAGTATCATGCCCGTATGAGGCACCTAACAAGTGCTCGATCACTGGAGTGACTATCGCAATGGCCTTCGTGGACTTTCTTGAGGATGCATTGAGTCTGGTTTGGTCCCAAGAACTTTTCTAAGGGGCCACCGTATGTTCTCTTTTACAACTTGTTGCTAAGGAGGTTGTACCTTGTCGCTTGTATTCTCAACTTCCTGGTTTCCTTTTTATCATTTGGGAAAGTACTGCCCTGCAATTGGGTTTATAATGCAGTTGCGCCAGTCCCAGGTTAGGTTTACAGATTTTACCTCGACGTGATCTAGGGCTGAGCTGATGAGATTTACCACGCTCATTTCCTGGGAGTTATGCTTTTTGTTACGATGACTAGTTTTGCGAGGCCGTCCGTCTCGACGTTTTGAGTTTGTGGAATCTGATCGAGCTGGCATTCATCACACTTGGGTAACAGTTTTCATATCTGAGACAGGTACTTCTGCAACCTTTGCTCTTTGATCTGGAAAGTCCCAATAACTTGGTTGACGACGAGTTGGGAGTCACAATGTAGCCTTAGGTGTCTCTCCCCATATTCGAGTGCTAGCCTCAATCCTGTAATTACGGCCTCATACTCGGTCTCATTGTTAGTCATATCTAGGCACCTTATAGATTGGCGAACAACTTCGCCATTGGGGATTTCGAGCACGAGTCCTAGTCTGTATCCGCATGCATTGGATGCACCGTCATTATGCAGGACCCAGAGGTCTTGAGTCACGTGAGAAGCTCTAGTGGCTTCCTTCTCAGCCTCGTGCATTACCTTGGCACTAAAGTCCGCAACAAAGTCAGCGAGCATTTGTGATTTTATCGTTGTGAGAGGCTTGTAAGTGATGTCGCGCTTACTTAATTTAATTTCCCATTTGGCCAGCCTCCCCGACAGCTCGACTTTGTGCAATATGCTCCTTAAAGTAAACATGGTGACGATCGAGATTGGATGGCACTGGAAGTATGGCCTGAGCTTTCTTGAAGCTACGACAAGGGCCAGGGCTAGTTTCTCGAGGTGAGGATACCTCGTCTCGGTGTCGAAAAGTGTTTTACTGATATAATAAATTGGAGATTGCGTATTTTTTCTTCTCGAACCAGGACTGCACTTACTGCTACTTCTGAAACACCAAGGTAGATGATGAGACATTTCCTAGGCTCGGGCTTAGAGAGCAAGAGTGGCGATGACAGGTATTCCTTGAGTTCCTTTAGTGCTTGTATACATTTGGGCGTCCATTCAAGGCCGTTATCCTTTTTAGTACGTTGAAGAACCTATGGCACCTGTCGGACGACCTCGAGATGAATTTGGACAGGGCGGTGATTCGACCCGTCAGTCTTTGAATTTGTTTCTTGGTGGTTAGGTATTCCGATATCCGGTCGATAGCCTTAATATGATCTAGGTTGACCTCGATTACACGCTGTGATACGAGGAAACCCATAAACTTACCCCAAGTCACACCAAATGCGCATTTCATGGGGTTCAGTTTCATTTCGTATTTCCTCAATATCTCGAATGCTTCCTTCTGATGGTCGATGTGATCCTCGGCCCTTAAGGATTTAACCAACATGTCATCAATGTATACCTTTATGGTCTTGCCGAGCTGATCTTTGAACATCTTTGTTACCAGCCTTTGATAGGTAGCCCCCACACTCTTCAACCTGAATGGCATGACCTTGTAGCAGTACGTTCCCCTATGAGTGATGAATGTAGTTTTTTCCTGTTCATCTTCTTCCATGAGTATCTGGTTGTAGCCTGAGTAAGCGTCCAGGAAGCTCAGAAGCTCATGTCCAGTTGTGGCATCGATAAGTTGATCGATGTGCGATAATGTGAATGAATCCTTCGGATAAGCTTTCTTCAGATCGGTGAAGTCCACGCACATTCTCCACTTCCCGTTCTTCTTTTTATCATTACTGCGTTAGAAATCCACTTGGGGTACTTTGACTCCCTAATAGAGCCATTGGCCAACAATTTCTACACTTCCTCTTGGACGGCCTCAATGATGGTGGGGTTGAACTTTCGCCGAACTTGCCTTACTGAGGGTGGTAGGGTCGACATTTAACATGTGTGTGGCTATATTTTTGGGGATGCCTGGCATATCTGCATGTCTAAAGGCAAACAAATCTACGTTAGCTACTAAGAATTGACTAAATTTACCTGGGTCTTTGAGTTTGCAACCGATGTAGGCCTTTTTTCTAGGGTCGCTTTGATCTAGCTGGATGAGATCGAGATCCTTTATGGTCGATCCTGCAGCTTTGACCGTTTTCGGATCCGTAATGGTGTCCTTGGCTTCGACCTGTAGGGACCTCGACCCTGCTGATTGCTATGTTTCCTTATATTTTTCTTTCTTTTGTTGAGTAGTTCCACTATCCAGGGCGATCCGATAGTATTCTCGGGATATGTGTTGTTTCCCTCGTATGTTGAATATTTCCCAGAGGGTTAAGAACTTGATCACTTAGTATAGGTTGGAGGGGACTGCCCTCATGGGGTGGTCGACCTACGATAGCGTTGTACGCTATGTTCTGATCCATCATGTGGAACGTGGTCTCCAGCATCACCCCGCTAGTGAGGATGGGGAGTGTGATCTCGCCCAAAGTTCGTTCAACTGCATTGTTAAAACCGGTTAGTGTAATGCAGTGCGACACTATCTTATCCTCAAGGCGCATGTGTATGAGGACACGTGGATAAATAATGCATGCTCTACTTCTGTCGTCCACCGTAATTCTCCTAACATGAGTATCAAGAATTTGTAAAGTGATGGCAAATGTGTCATTGTAAGGGAAAGTCAAATTGTCGGCATCTGACTTATCGAAGATGATACTCTCTTCGAGGCCATCATACTGTTCATAAGTGATCCATCTCTTGAGTTTGTGAGTGGCGATGAACTTGATGTCGTTGATGGAGGCGTCGTCACTGCCCCCAATAATCATGTTGATGGTGCGAGCGGGATAAGGCGGCTTGGCGGGCCTGGACATTCTCGTCCCTTTGCTAAGGTGTTATTGCCTTTGTCAACTGAGCAACTCTTTGAGGTGTCCTTGTTGCAGCAGGTTCGCCACTTCTAACCTTAGAGTGTGGCTGTCTTTCATCTTGTGTCCACGGTCTTGGTGGAACTCACAGAAGGCATCTGACTTCTTGGTGCTTGGGACGGACCTTATCTTTGGTGGCCATTTCACCTTTGGTCCGAGCTTCTCGAGTGCATAGACCTCCTCTGTAGGTGACACACAAAAATTATGAGCGGATAGTAAGGGGACCATACTTCAGTTGTTTATGTGGACGTCTGATCTTGGCTTAGAGCGGCCATCTTCACGGCAAAAGTTGGGGACGAGTGGCCTGATATAAGGTTGATGCTGATCTCTGCCTGATCGCGGCATTGGAGGGTCTCTCCGTGTGTCGTCCCTACGTTCCCTCCTGGGTTCGGATTGCACTGAGATGAGTCGTTGGGTTGGCCCATTGAGGTCTTCGTCATCTACCCTGACCTCGGCACATTATGCATTGTGGATCTCGTCCCAGGTAGCTGGTGGATACTTCATCAATCGGCTCAGTAGCTTTCTGGTCGCCTTTAAACCTTCTCTGTTCAGCCCGTTTTGGAAGGCTGCTACAACCATCCCTTCGAAGACATTTGGTAAGGTCATTCTCACCGTTTTAAATCGAGCTAAGAAGTCCCTCAGTCCTTTCCCTAGGGATTGTCTGATGGTGAAGATATCATTTACCCTTGTTTCATATTTCTTGGCCCCGACATGCGCTGTTATGAACTTGTCCGCCATCTCTTCGAATGTTTCGTTGGAATAGGCTAGCAGCTGTGAATACCATGTCAACTCCCCTTCTGTGAGGTTTTCACCGAACCTTTTCAACAAGATAGAGGACATTTGTTCCTTGGTGAGGTCATTGCCTTTCACTGCAGTGACGTAATGGGTCACATGGTCCTCGGGATCAGCTGCTTCTTCCCTGTACGACTGTTCCACGAACCTGTCTGCGTCTCGTTTTGGTAATAATTTGGGTGCATATGGTATCTTGTCTACCCGTTCTTGGTGATCCTTCATATGTTCCTTGAGTGCCCTGTTCTCGTTCTCCATTTCTTCCATTCTTTTTAACACATCGGCGTGGACGTTGTCACCTGAACTGTCAGCTTGCATGAGTATTACCTGAAGTAGGAGGGTTCGGTTAATCCTCTCATCCATTCTTATGCTGTGTTGTAGGGATCCTTAGGGTTTCCTCGGTCATACACGGGGCCTGCTTGCTCATCACGCTGACCAAAGTGTCGGTTAGCCAAGCCTCTATGAGCTTTTTCATAGCGGGTGGTGCTCCTTCCTCCGCGAATGTGGAAGCCTATTTTCTGTTTGGTTTGGTTGTGCTACAGAAGGGTGTCAGCGACTTCCCTAACCTGGGGGATATCATGAGGATTACTTCTTCATCTTGAGTTTCGCACCCTTCATCGATGGCACTCATAAGGTTGAGTGGAACGTTGTCCACCCCTTTTGTTCCCTTTCCTTGATCGATATTTCCCTAGTTACCTGCCATAGTATCTTTGTATGCGAAGAAAAAAGGATAGCTCTATAGTATGTTAGGTTAACAAGTTATCGAATAATGCAGATCTGAATGAAAACTGATTGTTTGACTATACAATCTCTACATATGACGCCAAATTGTATGACCCAAAAGTTAGATCTAGGTTTTTATATAATTAGATTTATAGAAAAATAGGGTTAATCATAGTCAATATCAATATTCAGTAGCAGATCTAGCACTTTTGGGGTGAGTATTCACTATGTAATATTTGAAAAGATTATCTAGAAACAATGATGAACAATAAAAGCTTAAAAATGTAAATAATAGAAATAAATGATAATAAATGGCTTTTGAATAATAAATGAAACAAAGTTCACCGACAAAGGTAAGATCTTCAAAGATGTTTTCTGACAATGATCGATGGTGATAAGCAGTTGAATATTTTGATTCTTGTTGGATGGTAAGCGAGAGATAGAAGAAAAAGGAAGTTTAAAGTTAGGCTTTGTTTCTATTCAATAAAGAGAGAATCTTGCACAGAGACTATCAATGATATTCTTTACAAAAAAGGTATGATCCCTTTCTTAAACTACATCTCTTCCTATTTATAAGGATACATGGGTCACAAAATCCTAGGTAGTACAACAGAAAAGAATATCCATTAGAATATTCCCTAAGGAATCTAAATCCTAAGCTGGTTGTCACTCCGTATTGAAAACGGGTGCTCGCCCTAGTCCTTGTCTTCTACTAAGCCATTTCGACCTCGACTGCGATTTATCTTTCTCACCTGACCTAGACCTTTTGGGGTCAGGCTGACTCGTCACAGCCTTCAAAGGCTTTATCGCCGTTGACCGGGTCAAACACATAAATTGGAATTTTTTGCCCATACATAATGGAAGGCGTTAACTTCAGATTAGATTTTGCTATTAGATGCATATAGCAAAATGACGTACTACTCTCAAGATACAATGGATCACTCAGAAATCTTTTAATGTGCTCTCAAATAGAAGTTCTGAAAGACTCTTTGATCTCTCAATTGATTTTATAGGAATTTAGAATAATTTGACACGTATGTGTCTTTGGAAGGAAGTGATATGATAAGGAGCCAAGGACCGAAGAAACTCAAGTGCAAATTTTCTGTAAGGGAAACAATTCTTTATAGAGAGTGAAACATACCTTTCCAAGTACCATCTTTTCACAAAGAATAGGTGTATCTCATAAATAATGGGTAGTATCTTTTCACAACTTATCTTATTCAAAAGGTACTCGAAATTTTGAATCACCAAAATGAGGAGGATGACAAACACCTCGAGAGGCATAAACAAAAGGATACATAAGCAAAGATACACCACTATAGATTGATGATTACATAATCTCAATCGCTCAATTACTCCAATATTATTGGTTGAGTTGGTTGGGTGAGTAGTTTCCCACATGGAAAATCTGTGATCGATTCCCCTTATCAGTACCCTCCTCAGTTAGAGCTTGTCGCACCAGGCTTGTCTAGATCGGTTTACATCTTTTGTGTGGATTGCGAGCTATTGCACAAGCAAGTTAACTAGTGCGCACCCTAAGGTAGAGCTGTCAATATGGGCCGGGTTAAGGCAACCCAACCCACATGGGCTTTAACAATTGATGGGCTGGGCTAGCCCACCATTTTGATAGGCCTTATAATGGTCAGCCCACCCCTGCCTTATGTGGGCCGCGGGCCCCCATGGGCCGGCCCATCATTTTGTTAAAATAATTTTATATTTTTTCTTTAAGTTCTAACTAACAAAAAAAAAAATTAAAAGTTAAAAAATATCTTATTGGAAAAATTTCGCAAAACTTAATAACTTTTTATACTATTCCAATATATCACAATAAACACTAAAAAAGTAAAAGACAAGACTATATTTCATTCACTAAAAGTCAAAACTTAAAACAAACTATTCAAGAGAACGTCCATGACGCTTATGGGATATCCAACACATCATCTTCATCAAACACATTTGAATCCGCTTGTGACAAGGTTGTCTTGACATCTTCACTTTCATCTACATCTACAATTCATGTACAATATTAATTAGATAAATATTAAGAATAATTAAATTTTAAAAACTAATAATATTCAAATTCACATAAATAAAAATATTACCAGTTTGAGTTTGGGAAAAACTGTGCAACCAATTTCAAGTAATAATAAGTGTTTAGACTTTTTCATGATGGATGCAACTTCTGTACTTTGTCATAACACGCCCACCAATACTAAATGCTAATTCCGGTGCTATAATGGTAATAAGAATACTAAGTACATCGTGCGCCATCACTAAAAGATCGGGATATTTTCTAGAATGGTCCTTCCAATACATGACAACATATCCATCTCTTGAAACTTCTCAAAATCAAGCTTTGGTTCTTCTAAGTAAAGATCCAATTCGGACTTTCCATCGCTATAGGCAGTATACTTTGTATATTTTACTGTATATATTTTAAATAAATATTTTTATTAGGCTCACGGCCGGCCCAACCCAGCCTCAGTCAAGCCTCATGAGCCATAGGCTTACTCGGGTCGGGCTTAAAAGCCTCATTTTTAAATGAGCTCCAAAAATTCTAGCCCAACCCTGCTAAATCACCGGTTGGCCTGGCCTAACGGGCCAAGCCCATATTAACGGCCCTACGACGAAGGGTAGATGCGCGAGTTTCCCTGGGAATTTTCCAAAAAAACGTAGACGATCAAGTTTTTATTCACAATGATAAAGAGTACAAAAAATATATTATAACTCAAGGAAGCAAGGAAAGACGTAAATTTAGTTTTTTGATGATCTGCTTACTTTCAGCCCATTTCAACATTTTATAATCATCGAAAACCAGGACATGAAGCTCATCTTTTACTAGTTGAGCGAATGAGAGGCAGCCATTCCAATCAAGGAGATTAGCGCTGCCCAACTTTGAGATGAAACTTCTACCCATAGGGAAAGTAGTATGATCAATATAACTCTCATTAACCATATCTTAAATATCAACTTCTATATCAACATCGTCATCTTCCATCTCAACATACCATATACAAAATTGAATTCTCTTATGATTGTTATGGTGCTTTAAGTTAGGGGGTGTGGGTACCTTAACGGCTCGCCAACAATAAGTACTTCGATCGCTCGCAACCCCAAGAGCGAGAAATTCATAACCGAGTGAATATTATTGCTTTTCTTCACCTTCATGAGCAAAAACCAACTTGACAATTTGATAGCTTGGTTTACAAAAAGAATAATTGCCGAAATTGAACCAACAATTTAGGCTTCAGATTCTTTTACCAAAATTGTGAAAAAACATAAATGCAACTTTATTTAATATCCGTAACAAATAGTATCCCAATAATTAAGGGAGTCCAAAACCAAAATGATGTAAAAGAACGGACAGAAAAACCATATTAATGAATGAAAAAATAAGAAGAACATAACTAGCATTAGCGCATAGGGCTACTGCGCTA